TCAGAATAAGTTAAGTAATCAAGGATGTATCTGTAGTATAAATATGAGCTCTAACTAATGATGTATAAGAAATAAATTGAATAAAAAACTGTGTTACCTGACTTATGAGCCACCCTGTATATTCCACTGCGAAAAAAAAATTTGTGCTAAAACTAGAAGAAAACTTTTCTTTATCGCCTTCCTTCCTCCGCTCCCTTCCCATTTCACTGAGCACGAAAAACCTCTTTAAGTCTCTTTCAGCCAGATCTGTAATTAGATCTTGGGTACAAATGTGTCTAATGTAGTTTAGATATAGGAATGCGATATTCCCTCAGCTAGACTTTAACATTTTGTCAAGAACTTTGTGTAATATTAGCTAGTAAAGATTAGTTTGTGATTAGTTGAAACTAGATCACGCTGAGGTTTTCAAGAAAACATGATCTATATTCAAGACTGTCTAAGAGAATAACCCTTTTCAACGGTTTTTCAAGTGAACAATGGCCGCTGATTTGGCTCCTCATGTTTGTAGTAGAAGCCGGATTCGGATTCAGCATCACATCTCACATTAAGTGGGCCATTTCAGGAGTATTTAGCAACATTCATAAAAGAATTCAAGCAATTGTTTATGGACCAAGTGTATTTCAACCAAACTCTTGTGGGTCCTTTCCAAAGATCTAATTACAGATCCTGATATTTGCTAACTACATAATCTTGTACCTAAATTTTCAAAATTGGTTAAATTTTCTGTGCCTAGTATAGTGACCAAGATCTTGCGTACAAGATGTTCACCTGGATATACCTCTTTTGCTCTTCCTGCAAGGCTTACTCGTGGAAGGCTCAAATGTCGATGTACCAAGTCGGATTGAGCTTGAAAGCTTAAAATTTCAGAAAGTTTGAGAAGCAATAAGAAGTATTCGGAAAAAAATTCATCAAAATTGGTTGAGAGCATCTGGTTTTATTCTGAATTGGTGCTTGGAACGCTAACGGCACAATGATCATGCAACCGACACATATGTATTGATCTGTTTATGTCCTAACTGAGATTGCCGCCTGTTTGCACCCATTTTTACCTGCCAATCAGTCATTAAATGTATAAAATAATTCCATTCTTTGTTCCAATTCATCTATGAAGTGCGTCGCACTGTATCCTGTATGTTTCTTCTATCCGTAGATGTTTCCTACAATCTACCAAAGTTTTCTTCATGTGCATCGTGGAATCCAAATGGTATCACTTTCGCAGACTACACCACGGTGGGCTCCCACCCGTTTGCGGTGTTCGTTGATAACAACAATACTGTTTACGTCAGCGATCAAATCAATAGTCGTGTTCAAGTATGGCGCGAAGGTAGTGTCACTCCAACAAGAACGCTCTCGGATTATAGTTTAACTCAACCACTCGGTCTCTTCGTTACAAGCAATGGCGATATTTTCGTTGGTTACTCCTCGCACAATCAAGTGTACAAGTGGTCATGGAACACAACGAGTAGTGTACCAGTGGTGAATTTTAGTGCTTCTTGCTTCGGACTTTTTATCGACAAGAATAATAATCTCTATTGTTCACTTTCGAGCTCCCTTCAAGTCGTCATGATAACACTTGACAACAGTACGAACATGGTAACAAACGTGACAGATGATGACTCTCCTGGACCAACTCGTAACAATCTTTTGTACCATTATAGTATCTTTGTTGACCTTATGCTCAACCTATATGTGGCAGACTGTGGGAGTAACAGTGTTATACTTTTTTCGCCTGGACAGTCGAGTGGAATAATAGTGGCAGGAGTCAGAGCAGCCGTGAGCTTTCCGCTTCATTGTCCGACAGGTGTTGTACTCGATGCTGACAGTTATCTATTTATTGTGGATAGTGGCAACAATCGCATTGTCCAATCAGGACCAAACGGATTTCGATGTGTGGTTGGATGTTCGCGTACAAGTGGCTCTGCATCTGACCAACTGAACTCTCCGTTTGCACTCAGTTTCGATAGTTATGGTAACATATTTGTCACTGATCAAATGAACAGTCGTGTTCAAAAATTTGTTCTTGCAACGAACTCTTGTGCTGCTGAGTGATGTCGTAGACAACATTGCTCGTCATCACAAATGAGAAGGAGAAAAATGAGTACAATATAATCTGCCCGAAAAAAAAGTTACTTTATTTTCACCTTATTCAATATAAAGTATATGTTTACCTATATTCAGTACTATAAATCAACATAATGAGTTAATTGCATTGGAAAATAGTACAGGTTGTTGCTCAAGTAATCACAGAATACATTTTTAATCATATTTAACGGATGGTCCATAATGAATGAGGCGCTCAGTATTTTGCATATATCCCATTCAGATTTCAATGTTTAAGAAAAATTTTTTTAGTAAAAGATTCTTCGTCAAATTCTCTACAAAACGTAGATATTCTTATTATCTTAAATAATCTTCATTATTTTGTGACATTCGATACAATCAATTCGCCTAAGAACTACAACTTTCAAACACAACATCTCTCACAATTTTTTTTCACTGCTTTTTTTAATTCTTGGATTATTGTTGCTTGAGATGTCACTTTATTCCAGTTGATGACCTTCACAAATTCATCCCAAATACAGTAAACCAATGGATTGAGATCAGGACTATTAGGTGGCCACTGGTCTTTATCGATAAAGGCTGGAAAATTGTCTCAATCTCCATCTTTTATTTATCAACGTTTTTTGTACGAGATTCAGTTTTCCGATAATGAAAACCGAAGACTTACAGAAAGTGATAGTCTTGAAACATCAGAATGGTGATTATCCGATGAAAGTTTTTCGTGATTTGAATAGAGTAATTAGTTTAGCAACTATTAAAAGATGGTACAAAATGATTGACGAGACTGGTTCTATCAATTCTTCATTATCACCAGGTCTTCCACGTACAGCTCGAACTAATGCTACCATCAACAAGACCAAGCAGAAGCTACAACAAAATAAGGTATCAACTAGAAAACTTGCACTTGAACTAGGTATATCTCAGACAAGTGCTCAAAGAATGCTTTGAGATGATCTTGGCTGTCGACCGTATAAACATTTGATCGAACCAGCATTTACCGAGAAACACAAAGGAAAAATGAAAACGTTTGCTAACTGAATACGAACAAATTTTCGAAAGCAGGAATGTTATAGCACGTATTTAGATGTGTCAAAAGATGATGTTCCACTGATAGAATTATATATATGTCGTAGTCCAATGTCAGATTTAGGCCAATTTAAGATTGACCTAGACCATTGTAAGATGCAAGTTTGTACTAGTCCATTCTTGAATCTGAGTTTAGCCTAACATTTTTCTAGGCCAATCTTGAATTCTAGAATGACCTAGTTCAATCTCGGACCTTACTTCAAGTCGTCAGTTCAATCCAAGATTGGCCTGTTTTTTTTAGACGAATCTAAGTTTCGCCTAGTTCATATTAAGATATTTTTCTTTCCAGGCCAATCTAAGATTCGTCTAGATCAAACTAGGATATAGTAATCACTAGTTCAAACCACAACTGACTTACATAAAGTCAAAAGCTTATCATAGTAAAAATTTATTTAAATATCAACTAAGTAGAAAATAAATTTCTTTTTCATTTTTCCATGTTTTTACAACAACTAATTAGTATTTTTATGACACTTTGTAGAACAAAAAACTTGATTTTTTTTTTGCAAACACATCGTTTGGTCTTGCATCCTCCTTTACATGAACAACAAACACCATTGACTGCACTCCAAACATACAGTTTTGATGCAATCTTTTTACCACCTCTAGTCGGTTTCAAGGCATTAATGATGTTGTTGTACAATGGAAATGTTATCATTGATTTTTCTCGCATGAATAAGGATAAACTGTTCCTGTATTCTTCAACATTCGTATAGAACTTATTTCGTTGACGTTCGTCACCCTCACTGACGACAACTTCTTCCGAGGAAATTCCAATAATATCATCACCTTTCATAATAATTGAATTCAATTGCTCTTGTGGTAACTCTTCTGCGTTTTCCATAGATTACTTTTTTATTGTTTTTATTCGAATAACAGTAAATATCTTAGTCATAATGTATCAGTTCTTCTTCACCTACTCGAACGGTTGTAAACTTATAACAAAAATTACTTCAATAGTAGAGGTCAAATGTGTCATTGGACAACCTTATCCCAGTTTCGCCTAGGCGAACCTTAGATTGACCTGGAAAGAAAAATATCTTAATATGAACTAGGCGAAACTTAGATTCGTCTAAAAAAACAGGCCAATCTTGGACTGGACTGACGACTTGAAGTAAGGTCCGAGATTGAACTAGGCCGTTCTAGAATTCAAGATTGGCCTAGAAAAATGTTAGGCTAAACTCAGATTCTAGAATGGACTAGTCCAAACTCGCATCTTACAATGGTCTAGGCCAATCTTAAATTGGCCTAAATCTGACATTGGACTACGACATATATATATAGTGTATATATGCATGTAAGGATCCCATAGTTTAAAACGGTCTAAAAATGCTGTACAGAAGACAGATCCGAGTGTCTCATGAAAATACTATTCAGGTATATCAAAAATAATATCAAATTGCTCGTCATGTCAAAATTTATCGGTCTATGTGAGAGTGAGGGTACAAGCTTTCTAAAGAACGGAAATACTTGGGAGATTTCCTAGAAAGCTCCAGAGGTTTTTTCGAAAATTACTGTCTGATTCGCTCGATTAAGTTTATTTTCAATTTCTTCTGAAAATCGGATATCTCGAGAAATGAACATATGTTTGAACCAAAGCTCTTAGGATATTCTGTAGCCCATTAGACCTATCTACAGGCAATTTTTCAGATCGAAATTCCACAATTTGATTTTCCGGTAAATAATTAGGAAAGTGTTGAAAATTCAATACAACAGTCATAATTTCCTAAGGAAAGGCCGAAAATGTCTTAAATTTTCGGGATTTATAGAGTAGACATTGTGCTACAATACGGCTAAATTGAAATTGAAAATACATCGAGTCAAATAAACCAGGAAGGGATTTTCCACAAACGTCCTGAAGACTCGTAGAAAACTCACCCATCCTCTTTCTAACAGCGAAAACTCGAGCTCGATAGCTATCAGCATTACAAGGCTATTCAACAAACAACTGACGAGGGAAGGTCCCCAAGTGTGAGTCTCAATTTTTAACGGGATATATCTCAGTTTGTAGACCTCGATGAGCTGAGTCTTGTGGTATGTTTCGTTTTTCCCCATGGAGCTTTAAATGAGAGGAATCAATCAATTTTATTACTAAATTTCATTACATTGAATAGGGCTCAACAGATGTATTAATATTACAAATTTCATATTATCAGTATATTTGAACTGTTAATAATCATTCACGCATAGTTACTCGGATCTATGATAACCTACTTCTTTTTATTCCCTCGACTGAAGGGAGGATCATATGAAAAAAACTGAAAATGGGTTTGTGTGTTTGTCGGGGTCAAAAAAACATTCGGGTCAAAAAAACATCTATTTTAAGTTCTCTTCTATAAAGGTTGACGAAAGTAAATCGGGGTCGGGGAATCCGAATCTGAAGTCAGATTTTCAAAATTTTGAACTGAATTTGTTGGGTCAAGGGAAGGGTTTTTTGAGAAAATAGCGATATTTTATAAAGGTTGACGAAAGTAAATCGGGGTCGGGGAATCCGAATGTGAAATCAGATTTTTTGAAAATTTTGAATTGTTTTTTTGGGTTCACGGGAAAATATTTTTGGTGAAAATAGTGTTTCGTATCGTACAGAAAGAGTTATATGAGACAAAATAAATGTTTATCTGTTATTGTCCCAGTGAAATGTGAGGCGCAAAAAAAACAGCATGGTGAAGTGTTTGTTGATATTCGTACTTTTAATATTGGGCTTTGTACCGGTTCAATTTTTCAAACTTAAAACTCGCTTAATCCGACGTATGCGATAAGTTGTTCTTCAATGAGCTGTTTTACAACTAGATTTCCACGGATGAGGCTTATTTTTAGCTGAGTTTCTAACCGGTGATGCTGTTTATAGGACTACTCTAGTCAGTCAGACATTTTGGATATGGAACTCGACAAAATATGAGTTCGTTGTTTGTTGTTATAGAGGCGTAGTTTTTTTCACAATACTGTCAGGCGTTAAGATGTATCCTAATTGAAATTTTCGTCTAATAGTGGAGAATGAAGAACATGATGGTGAGATATTCAACTTTTTTCTTTTATATTTTTGTTAGAATCGTGGTAAATGTGGCTATAGGTGTTTTTGGAAACGTTTGTTTATTTTATAAATGCTTTCGTAAACCCAAACTCTATTGCACCTAGCTACCTGGAAAATACAACAGGAAGTCATAAATTTAGTTTGTTGATTTGACTTATGTCCGCGATGTAGCGCTGTCAAAGTGAAAGAACAAATTGATATATATAGAACATTTAATCTTTTGTGCCATTGAATTTAGTTATCAAGGAAACGGCGCTGTGTCACATATAACGTTACAAGTGGGTTTTAACTATGCTGACTCTTTCTAGATCATTTTGTAAAAATCTTGGGTTTGTCTCGCCACATTTTTTCCACATTAGCATGTCTTCGTTGTGCATTCTGAAGATAAATGGTGCTGACTGCTATTCTATATTTCTCGAAAGAGATTTAAATGATATCTCTAATGTAGAACTAATTGAGAGAGACCGAAAATGACATAAAAATTGAAAATATGTACTAGCTTCATCTGAGACGAATTGTTTGAGGCATTTTGTCAAAATCTAAACTCAATTGCGACATATATTCTTTCTCCATTGATATTTCCACGCCAATCCGAGAGAAGAAGAATAGTGCACAACAGAAAACCATTTCCTCTACAGAACAAGTTATACAAATGAAAATGTATGGTGTTAGATTCGAAATATATCTTTGTTCCCTCGACTGAAGGGAGGGTCATATGAAAAAAACTCAAAATGGGTTTGTGTGTTTGTCGGGATCAAAAAAACATTCGGATCAAAAGAACATCCCTACCGTGCACTCATACTTTCACTATGACCCATCAGCAAACCAGGGGTTTTCGAGGGTGGGCTATCCACCAATCATATTTTTAGGTTTGGTGGATTCTACCAATCAGGGGTTTTCGAGGGTGGGCTATCCACCAATCACAGTTTTAGGTTTGGTGGATTCGACCAATTAGGGGTTTTCGAGGATAGGCTATCCACCAATCATATTCCCTCGACTGAAGGGAGGGTCATATAAAAAAAACAGTTTGCTTGCTTGCTTGTCGTCAGGTCAAAAGAACATCAGGGTTAAAAGAACATCGGGGTCAAAAAAGACATCCGCTTAAAGAAGTTTGCGCTTTGAGGCTTTCGACCAATCAGATAAGATTTTTTCCTCTAAACGTTGACGAAAGTAAATCGGGGTCGGGGAATCCGAATCTGAAGTTAGTTTTTCAAAATTTTGAATTGAATTTTTTGGTTGAAGGAAAGGATTTTTTGAGAAAATAACACCATTTTATAAAGGTTGACGAAAGCAAATCGGGGTCGGGGAATCCGAATCTGAAGTCAGTTTCTTAAAATTTTGAATTGAGTTTTAGGGTCAAGAAAAAGGTTTTTTGAGAAAATAACGATATTTTATAAAGGTTGACGGAAGCAAACCCAGGTCGGAGAACCCGAATCTCAAGTCAGCTGTTCAAAAACTCAAGTAGTTTTTTGTATGAGACAAATCATACTTTTTTATCTGAATTATTGTCTAAGGATAAAGTCAATTTTTTTAAAGCAAAAGGCATTTGAAAAAATGGAAACTCTAAATATGGACAATCCTTCTGTGTATTTGGAGTTTGTAATTGCTGTTTAGTTTCGGTAGCCTCTTCATAGTATCGTTGTAGACATGAATCAGAGTGTGATCTAATGGGTTGAATGTTTCAGTAAGTCGTAGTGTGATGAAACAGTGTTTACAAAGCATTGGCACTCAGTCTAATGTGTGCGACATTATGGGATTGCTGTTTATTCATAGTGGTTTGTGAGTTAAGTGGCCTTTTTTGAGAGCACTCTGCTTAAGTCGAGAGAAGTAGCATTAAAAGAATCCTGTAAATGAAGTTACAGTCTGTAGAATAAATGCTGAATAACCAATGATTGTTTTAATGTATTCCAAGAATGCAACAAGGGACTATGAGCAAGGCCTGAGAGAAGTGCTGGAGAACTAGTGGTCGCTAAAAGTGCGAACGTATTCTAATGTTGTTTAGCAAAAGATCTACGTGAAACCTGCATTTATCAAGAATAATCAACTAAGATTCTCCAAACCAGAAGCCCTAATCAAATTTTACCGTATTGGCTAAACCATTGGGTTAAAGAAATTAGGAATAAATAACAGGAAACTGTTGGTCCGGAGCTGCTCATGTGGAGCGATGGTGTTATAAATCCAATATTCTAAGTAAGAGCAATCTAGCATTTAACAGGATTTAAGTGAAAAGAACTATCTTATGGGAGAAGAAGATCAGAGGTTGCAGCAGCTAGTCGCGAGTGGCGCCCCAGAGGGGCGCCGACGAACGACTAGCTGGTGCACTCGACAGTTGCATTTTGAAGGGCGTTAAATTAAAAAGATTTAACAAGAGAATGTGAAGGGGTTAGATCTGATGAGTTTCAAAAGGGACTCAAAGTGATGAAAAAGGAGAAATATTTTTGTATGCATTCTAAGACCAGTTTTTCTCGAAGAATAGAATATAGTGACAATGTATGGATGGAAAACATCATTAAAACAGTTAAATTCACTCGATCGAAAACAAACTTGAAAGGAAAAGAATTAGTTTTTCGGTTCGTATATTTTTTTGTGGATTTAGAATGTGCATTTGCTGAAGTAGATGATCAACTAAAACAGTATATGTCTTTTTCGGTTTTGCATAAATGTATGAAAAAGAAGAAAATAATTGGAAACTGTATGTTTGTTTTCGTCTTATGAAAATATTTATCAATTAAGTGAGTCATTTGTAGTTACTATGGAATGGTTTTTGACTATTTATTAGTTAAATGTACGCGATAAGAGTGAATAAGCTATTGAATTTGGTCGTATTTGATACTTATAAGAAAGGTTCTTTCGTGTTTTTAAATCTTTCATCTGCGGAAATATATAATGGATAGGCGTAGATCTAACATTGAGACCTGGCATTAATTTTTTATATGCTATAATTACTATTATGAAAAGTGATACTTTTATCCTGGTATGTTTTCGGGAATTCTGATATGTGCAATGTCTAGCTACTGTTATTCAAAGAAAATAGTTTTGAAAAGGCATATGTGAATGATATCGTAGCTGTTGTATTACATGGACAATAAGAGACTCTCGTTCAAGTGCACTTATGTAAAAGGAGGACTTAGCCGTGGCTGGTACCCCAAAGGGGCGCCAATGAACTGTTAATCGTTAATATTGCAAGCATACTACAGACTGATCTCACTAAAGATCTTTGTATCGGTTAGGCATTTCGAAGAATAGTGCACTAAGATTTCCTTAATGAGAACCTCAAAGAATATTCTGGTTTCTCAGTTCTACAATCAAATTGCGGAAATGAGAAATAATTCATGAGAAAACTTTTGTTTGAAAATTCCTATCGATAATTCTAACGCTTTAGACTAACGAAGTTTTGAAATAGTAAATTCTGGACCAGGTGAATTTAAAATACAGAGGGATAGTGTTGGGATTCATTGAATAAAAGTCAATAGTCGAAGTCAAATGGGTCTGAATAAGGAATATCAGATACAAAAAGTTGAAAAAACTATGTCAAGTCAAAGATGAGAACCGGTTTTTATGTTTCGACAAAATAACTGAATAGTTCGTCAGAATAAAAGTATTACTGAAAGAATTTATATTCGCTGCATCGGTAGTGAACATGAATGAAATAAAAGAATGTTTCTTTTGGAGTATGGTTTTTGTTTGTATTAATTCAAGTATCTGAATGTATATTGATATATTCAAATTACCTGTCTAGTCTTATCACTACTTTGAATAAGAGCTTGTTGTATATATCAGATTTCGATTAGAGATGAGACATAATATGTTTTATTTTCGGCTAGGGGTTCCACTGAACTTCTATTTTCCTAGAGAACTCTATAGTAAACAGCATTATCGAGGAATGTTCTAGAATATGTACAAATTTCTAGTAGAATTTTCAAAAAGTACTCTGCATTTTCGTATAATTTTTGTGAACTTCTATTGCTATATGGTCTGTGAAAAATTAAATATGATATCTTGTTCAGTCGAGGGCTAAGCGAGTCGAAGCGACGAGCGTTACTTGTTGTTATAAAAATAGAAAAATATCAATTCCATTATTGATTCAATCCAATGCTTGCATTGTTAAATTGAGATGTAATGCTATCAAACACATATCCAATAGAAAGACTTCTTTTTGCTCTATTGTTTTATATCGAACATATCTATCTCGTATCTACGCGTTGTTTCTGGTACATTCCAGCTGATTATTCTTGTTTTTCTTCTCTGTACTACCTATATGTAAAATTATTTCTATGATGACTTTCTAGTGTTTTCCAGAATATTCTCTCTTTCTCTGAATTTAGTATAAATACTTTTCACCATGAATACATTTTAATATAAATTTCGTTCGAAACTACTCAAGTTAAAGTAATTAGTTCACTCGATCTTGACAATGAATATCGTTAACATATGCAAATGTATACATGAAAAAGCACAACAAAAACAGACATTCAGCAAACACCTATAAATGAACACGAAATATTAACTGCAAATAATTTACTTAGGGTGTACCAAAAGTTCTGATCACGGCGTTTAAAGGACCTTGTCGGATAAGGAGACGTATTCAGAAATGAGAAACAAAATAAACCATGTTGTAGAGCTTCTCAAGGCGCATCGAATGGCATATAGTAAATTCTATTTTTATTAGATTTTGAAGTAACTAGAGTCAATTTACTGATAGATGACTACACATCCGTACCCACCTCCACCGACATCCACACCCACAAGATGACCGGAGACGCTACGTATATGAGGTTGTGGCCCGTCAAAAGTTCTACAAAATCGTATGTGAGAAAAAATATTTTAGAAATACTTTCGATTAATACCAAGAACCACAATATTCATTAACTTATCATGCTTGACTATGAGTATCGATGTGGATGTGTAGTTATCTATCAGTAAATTGACTCTAGTTACTTCAAAATCTTATGAAAACAGAATTTACTATATACCATCGATGCGCCTTGAAAAGCTCTACAGCATGATATATTTGGTTTCTCATTTCTCAATAGATCACCTAATCTGACAAGGTTCTTTGAACGCCGTGATCCGAACTTTTGGTATACCCTAAGTACTTGCTTTATTAGAGGATCTATCGGACAGTGGCAGCTTTATAATAGAATCAGAAGATACTCTCGATCTACCTGATGATGAAAATTCCGATTCGGATTATGATAATGAAACTGAAGATGAAGAAGATCAAAAAGCACTTGGTAACCATCAATTTACTTTAGAACATACGGAAAATGTTGTTAGTTTTGCACGTCCAGGTATTTCCTTCACAACAGTACAACATGCGTATCCGCGGGTCACACATTCTATGCAATTGAAACGATTTCGAGAATATGTTGCAAGTAATGGAAATCGACAACAAAAACTAAGACGAATAGCAACTATCGTATTTGAAAGATTTCGACGTGCTCGAGAAAAAATATTTACCTGTACATGACATCGACATTTAACGTTGGGTATTGTGTGAAGCAAAATTGGAGAATTTATGTGACTTTACAGCAAGTCATCATTGGCTCCTCAATTTTAAGAAACGCCATGGTATTTACTCAAGAAAGGTGACAAACTTTGTTTCACGTCGGGAAGCGATTGATAAAACGTCAACTAAAAAGAACTGCCGATGAATTTGTTGACAAAGTATCCAAATGTATTTCGAAATATAAGTTGGATGTTGTATTAAATGCAGATCAATCCAGGTTTCACTATGAGATGGCTTCGAATCGAACATTATCTTATGTAGGAGAGAAAACCACTTATATATCAGTTAATTCTATTAATGCTACAACTCATTTTTACACAGTGATGCCAATCATCACTGCTGCTGATCAGCTGATAAATCCCGTTTTTGTTTGTCTTCAAGAATGGACTGGTCGTTTTCCAGTCACAAAAAAGATCTTTGCACCATCAAATGTAGTAACAACTTGCAGTGAATCCGGAAAAGTAAGTACAGATCAACATACTTTCAAACATTTTTTAGCTAGCATGTAAGAATGCACAGTCCAAAATACCGAATTCGATTTTTTAATTCGATGTTTTCTGATAACGTCGTTGTTAAAAGCTCTATATTTATTATATTGTCCATCATGTATAAATTATACTGACATTTCTGTGTAAGGGCCTATGGGGAAAAACGAAACATACCACAAGACTCAGCTCGTCAAGCTCTACAAACTGGGATATATCCCTTTAAAAACCGAGACTCACACTTGAGGACTTTGCCTCGTAAGAGATTTTGCCAAGATTTCCAGTATCTTTTCATAAAATAAAAGTGCTTTCGGATCATCGCCAATTATATCATAAACTGACCCAATCGTCTTATAGGAAATAGCCAAGAAAGGATGATTCGCAGGAATTAGCGCTGTATTAGATATTCAACACAACATTATCGTTCTCGTTTACATACATATATTTTTACTAATAATATTGTAAAACCACCAACTGAGCTTTCACTCAGATTTTATGGTACAACATTGAAACTTCGTAAATACGAGCAACAACTTATTGATTGCGCCAAAAGCATACAAGAAACACCGGATATCATTATTACTAATTGTATTAAAGGTAGAGCTATCCTTTTTCTAATTATACACTCATTTTTTTTTGTAAATACTTATATTTACTCCTTTAAAATATTTATTTATTAATTATGCAATAAACTTCTTGCGTATTTTTTTATTCGTGCTTAACTCTCTAGTGCTTATCATTCACCAATCCGAATATTTGTTAGTTTATTCAAGTCTTAATATTATAAAGTCATAAAATAATTGATTCTTTTATAATAGCTTTTACACAATTTCCGAAATTATTATGCACTTCAATGTTCCATTTCATAAAATTCACTAGCTATTAAAATTATTCTATATCGCATGCTATCTATTGATGCTTGTTATTATGAAAGACATAAACATTAAACATAAACTATGACGAGATTTTTAATTAGGTCACTTTATGCGTTTGTTTTTTTTTGTTCATAATATTGTGCAACGTGTGTGTATAATCACAAAATCACATTGAGTCGATCCGACAAATTGTTCTTATCGCGTGGATTTATAACTCAATCGAAGAATGCTGTCACAGTTTCCTCTTTGGCAAAAAACTGTCGCCAATCATCGATTTGTCATTCATAATAATTTCAAACAGCAAGAAATAGCCGATTATATGTGTAACAAAAGATAAACACGTTATAACTATCGCGTTAACATTCGCCAACGCATTAAAAACAGTATACGTTCTTATCACTATAAGATATCATAGAATAGCCAACATTTTCACAATAACTGACTGTTAAAGGATGATATGCATCGTCCTCTTTTCTTTCTGTTCTCTTCACATTTCATCATCTTTCTGGTTGCATCAGTTCCTCTTTGTGATACTGTAGCATCGTTAGTCAGCTTCACTTTTATTCGTATGTAGTGTATATAGTACTGATTTCTTTGCAATAAATCATCTCCATTTTATCTTCAGAGTTAGAGCGATCGGACAGGACTACACGCTCACATTGACACACTTATATTCATGATTTTCAGAATGAAAATTCGTTTGGCCACTGTTTCCGATGCAGAAGCAATTACACGTGTTCATTACAATGCCGTCCACGGAGTAAAACCTGCAAATTTCTATGCACAGAATATTTTACAAAGTTGGGCACCATCACCAACGGACGAGTATCGTCTCAATCAATTTCGCAGCATTATAGAATGTAACAAAGAACTAGTCGTTGTTGCCGAATTAGACAATAAGATAATCATAGGATTCGGAGCAATTATTGCTTCTCAACACGAGCTTCGTGCACTTTATGTTGATCCAATGTACGAACATCAGGGTGTTGGTAGCAAAATTTTGAAACATCTTGAAGAATTAACCTTGGAGCAAGGCGCCGATATGTTAAAATTAGAAGCTACTCTCAGTGCTGAAACATTTTACATTCGTCATGGCTATTCGATAATAGAATACAGCTTTCATCCATTGCGATCAGGTGATCAAATGAAGTGTGTGAAAATGAGCAAAGAACTACGCAAGCGCTAGAGTAAAACGAACAACTATTTTGTTTGTGTTTAAATTCTAATAGACGAACTTATATAATTGTACATCTTCGAATTTCTATTGAATTTTTATTAGATATATAGAGCTTCGAAAAGTTTCGGATGGGAATGTTGAATGTGGGTAGATTAAAGGACTGAATTTTGTTCCCAATCAAGTCTGGCTATACATAAAATGAAGTACTCGTTTAGACCGACGTTTTTATACTTTATAAAGAGACTCAATGAGTAAAGTGGCGGAAAAAGGTGTGGGTGTGGGGTATGGGTGGTGTGGATGTGGGTGTGGGTGGGTGTGGGTGTGATGTGTGGGTGTGGGTGTGCGGATGGGTGTGGGTGTGGTTGTGGGTGTGGGTGTGGGTGTGGGTGTGGGGTGTGTGGGTGTGGGTGGGTGTGGGTGTGGGTGTGGGTGGGTGTGGGTGTGGATGTGGGTGTGGATGTGGATGCGTTTGGGTGTGGGTGTTAGTGTCTATTCATGAACAGCTTCACCCACACCCACCCACACCCGCACCTACCCACACCCACACCCACACCCACATCCACACCCACACCCACACCCGCAAAAACAGAAAACATGTCTCAAGGAGCTCTTGCGAAGGTAAACAGGGTGTGAATGTGGATGCAGATATTAAATCTATCCATAGCCGATCTAGCGTCATGACCACTTATAAGAGCATAGATTCGCCCTCAACTGTTGCGAACATCAGTTTGATTCACGCTCTATTTATCAAGGAATCCTTCACAATACATAATTGATCTCTTGAATTCACCTACATACGTCACAAGACGCACAAATAGGAATTCGAAACTCTGCCGTTCTAATTCTCTATCATAATAGTGAAGATATTCACTTGTGAACTCAATTATACAAAGGATAGAAAGCAGTACATGGAATAAAATTTTACAATACTTATTTTTACTTCCTTTGAATTCCGATGAACAAACGGATTGGAAAAGATATGCTTCAATCGGGAATCGAATCCATGACAGCTGTGGCTGTGGCTGGGTGTGAGGTGTGGGTATGAGTGCGGGTTTGGATTGAGAGACAACATACATCCACACACACTCATACTCACATTCACCCACACCCACACCCTTAACTCCATAGGAATTGCGCTGATAAGCTGTTAAATTCGTGTTGCATGACGTTAGTTGTATGGTATTTGTTTGCCTCAGAAATGACAGCTTCAGCTGCAATGCTTCGCAATTTGTTTATATATTTTCTGTCTTGAAGACATACACATATACACATACAGACATACGTACAATCTTTACAGATCTAAAAAATCGGTCATTTTCATGAGCCTGCAACTTTTTTCCTTTTTGTCCTAGTCTCGTGTATCGCTAGTCGTATTTAATAGTGTGCAATTTCTTCGCCAGTCATTGTGTTTGTACGTTCCGGTGTCGATCAGTCGTAGTGTCTTCTGTATGAGGTACAATTTGGTTGTTGTTTAATCTGTTGACCTCTTGGTGCCATCGGTTTAAATGAACATCAATAAGTACGTAGAGGACTTGCTTCCGAAAACGCTTTGACACACAACAATAAATGTAGAATGGACTCTGAAATTAGATGAAAAACGGGGGATTGTTTTGTGCCTATGCTATACATGAGACTTACTGTAAAGCTTTCGTAGAAACAGTAAAGTGCAGCATTGTAAATAAATTGATAACGCGCTATTTGTTCTGGCTCTATGACTGGCGTATTTTGTTGGTAGATATAGACTACAATAAAGGGAAAAGCTAAGATCACATTGATCAGAACTTGTACAAGAACCATTGCAGTCAATTGTTGATCTCGACTCAATCGTACAATATGTACTTGACGACTGGCTAAGGTGCGAACATTATAAAAAGCCAATAGAGCAAATGTGATCATAATGAAAGTGGGTAAACATTCAAGAAGAACTGGAAAATAGAAACGACTATTATATTTCGAATAAGCTGAATTTAGAATTATACAGTTGCCCGAAGATGTCTCGTAATAGATGAGAAGAAAAATACTATGCAGAACCCAAATGAGAGTAGCAATAGCAGTGTTTCGATGAGCTAGTCGTAAACTACTCAAATGGGGGCGAGTAATTGAAAAAAATTGATCGATTGTTGCCAAACATATGCTGGTCAAAGACATAATTATACACAATGATACGGCAAAGGTGCGAATCTTGCAAAACCATGATACGCCTAATGGATTCATGTTGAAGCCATCAGCAAGAAATCGAAAGAGAACTCCAAAAAGCATTGCACCAACATTGGCAATTGAGACGATTGTCAGATAAAATGCACATGAAGTTTCTCGAAATGTTTTTAGTGACGTGAAAACGATAATATTGAGAAATCCACCGACTATTCCCGTAATGAAAACAAATAAGCCCAAGTAGATACTGATCTGTTGGTTGGCGTTCTGAAAAAACTTCGTAGTCGACGACGATGACATCGATCTAACTTGCAATCAAAGCACTGAAAACAAGAGACGCGCACTTATATTAAACACAACTTCTAACATTTTCTAACAATGTTAATGAAGTTCTTTTTATGTGTATTACTGTCAGATTTTCATCCAGGCCCTACATTTTCTATTATGGAGTTGTGACATGCACGAGACACACTTCCGCATATATAGTTTTGCTCTAATTAAACGTAGATATATCATCAGTGCAGAGAGAATGACAGTTTCGAACCGTCAAAGTCATTTAGAGACATGGCACTTGAAGCGCTCATGATCACATTCTAATTATACTAGAGTTGAAATATAGTCAATGATGTTTTGAATCAGATCAATAGATATAATATGAATCCATGGGATTTATACCACTTTCCTGGAAAAAGCTTTTTTGCGATTTTGAGTCCTAAGTTAGACCGAAGAATACTGGCAATTACTAGTAGTCAAGATGAAAAGTATCACTTGTACGTAAATTTCCGAGATCTAGGTCATTTTTGAGGAATATTAACGACAAAAAGCCTCCGACATATTCTTTTCTATTGTGTTTTCACAGGATATTCATTAAGAATAGCCTTAATTTCGAACGGAACATGTTTCATTCCAGCTGCATACTATTTCCGACAGTCTTCCGTCTAGCTGGCTTCTCAAAATCGAAAAAAGAAATTTTTATTTCAAATCAAAGTCATTTTCCAAATTGTGGTATAAAATCTAAATGAAATCCACAACATCGAGAAACAAATCGCAAACGTTAAAAGTGATTTTGTTCTCTAGAAAGCATGCTTTATAATTGTTGATAGTAAATGAAAAGAAGATGTGGCTATAGCCAATGGTTAATCTATCATGAAAAGGTTTTGTCATTGTAAAGAAATCATAATAGAACTATGACCTTATAAGAGATAAAAAGAAAGAGGATACAATATCGTTCAACCATGCCAAAATGAAAACAACTTTAGTGGCCAGTAAGTTATCGATCGATGGATTCTATCAATTTTGTAACTTGATGCAAAAAAAAGAAGAATATGCACTGTCAGAAAATTCAACTCAAATTAAAGTTCCTTCACGTCAAAAGAGGTGCACTCGTGACTACAATATGCAAATTCGGATCTTCGGAATAGAAATGTACGAAACAAAGTTTTCAGTCTCAGTCTCATAAACTTTTCGACATGTTACCCCGATCTTTTTCTTTCTACATTGAACTTTATTGTGTCATGAATGGTTCACAAACAAGGGAGAGACAACATCGAACTGGTTTTTGCCAAAAACATACAGTTCCCTTCCAGAGACGCACCGTTAGTTGAACATACTACCAACGACAAATTGATTGCGAATCGTTTTTTTGGTATAAAATATAGAATTTTCATCACTCAGACTTGAACCTTTCTGTAGAAGATTCGCCGTGGAATTCTCTACGAAACTATATATTCTGTTCAACGAATATTGTCTCCGTCGGTCTTTTAAAACAGTAGAACTTTCTGAAACAAACACGTATAAGTTCTAAGATTGTCATTTTTTTCAATTCTTTTTAATCTTGCATTTTTTTCTCACATTACTGTTTGTTGTGTCATATCACATTTCCCGCTCATAATTTGAACTAATTGATATGACACAACAAATGGTAATGTGAGGA